GAGTATACTTGCAGTATAAAACTACTAAACTAGTAGTTTACTGAGACTATACTTCAAAGTGTACTAAAAATGCTACTACAAGTATTTCATTAGTAAACTATCGCTATACCTATAAGTTCACTTTTAGTATAGTTGCAGTACAAAGTAAACATTTTGATGTAAACTAGTTGTGTACTCAAAGTTTACTACTGTTATACTTAAAGTATTCTTAAAAGTATACTTTTATATACTAGAAAGTGGGCCAATTTAGTCCCAAGGAGTATTGAAATAGTACACTTACAAGTATACTACTAGTACACTGATATTTGTATACTTACTACATAAAGTATACTTAGAAACATACTTGAACTTTACTTAAGTATACTTACTAAAATAAACTTGAAGTATACTACTTTTTGGTAAGGGTTACAGACATCAATTGCCCTCTTCTTTGGATTTGGATCTGTGAATCTGACTTTTTCTGCTCCTTGTTTCAAATATCGTCTCAGATACTACATTGAGAGTGTATTTGGACTGGAATATTTTAAATCTTTTCTCACACTGATTGTGTAAAATCACTATCCATCTGACCTCTTTGTTTTGGGTGGAGGAAAACTAGTTTTAGGGCAGGTAAGAAAGACAGACCTTGCCTATATAAAATTGTCCAAATCACAAGCACATGCATGTAATATTTGTACAAATTTGATGACACGCACTGCTCAGTATATGTGAATATTGCATAGCTAAATAATAGTGTTGTTACATGAGCATTTTTTTTTTCTTGTGAATAGGATAAGTTTGCATGAAGGAAAGTGGTAAATTGAGTTAAGTAGATGTAGTTTGTGAGGACAAAGCAAGAGAGACAGGTGGGTGTCTTGTTTTTTTTTTTTTGTGAAGTTGAATATTATTAAGCATCCATCAGAGGTTTAGTATGATAATATTCAGCCATGGCCCGCAGCAGCTAATGAACTCTCTCTTCTTAGTCAAGAAGCAGAGCATCACAGGGGCGTTCAGTGTGACATCTCCCTGAAATGAAACAGAAGGAAGGCCATGTTGGTTCAGTAGACATACTGTGTAGATGATTCTTCAAAATTTGGAAAATATAATTTTAGAAACACCTTGCTAACTTGCTACACATCAAACACTGAGATATGTTTTAACGCCTGTTTGTGCACTGTTTTGAAGCACATGTGCTGTGTTGTAATGGACTGTAGACATACAATCTGTCTGGTAAGACTAAACTACATGAACTACTGAATGTCATAGGACACTGAGATCTTATTGTCAAATGACTGCCCTGAATAAGTTCATTCAAATATAATTAAATAATTATTGGATTTTGTTCAGTGTTTGAAGAAAGTCACGAAATTATTTTATTAAAAAAACTGTAATGTGCATTTTCAGTAATAACTATCACATGTACTGAGTCAGACACAAAGTAAATAAATGAATACATAAAAAAGATGCTAAATAAAAAACACAGCTTTTTAAATGTCTGCAAAGAAAGTTTTTCTAAATTCACTTACATTCAAAACACATTACATTTCAAAACTACTAGTTAATAGTTCTTTATCTCTTACTAGTGCTTAATCTGTATAAATGTAATTGAGAAGCAAAATTGTGAATTACTTTCAGAGAATATACTATATTATTATTATAAGAGATTTTTAAAGGTTTTGCTATTTTGCTGTAAATATTTGCATAATAGAAAATCCCATCTCAAGAAAAGCTCATCATCTGCTCTCTAACCTACTGTCCAGCGTCTGTAGGCTGCTCTACATCTCCCTCCTGCTTCGTCAGCTCCCCCTGGAGGCAGAAACACATCAACACATCTCAGCTGTGGACGATTCTTTATCACTGTTCATCATATTTTCACCTTAAAAACACTAATATAATTTTTAAATTACGAAATACATGTGTTTTGTTATTATTACTCTCTGGAAGATTTCAGATGTTCATGAATTATTTTGTTGCTGCACATCGACTGGTAATGGTCGCGTGGTTATGGATTGTTTCTTCATGAGATTTTAAATGAATAAAAACAATTTTGGAACTCTAATGAAAGGAACTGCGAAAAATGGGGGAGGAGGGGATTCATTTGTGTAGGAAAAATATATTTGTTTAAAACTTTATAAACTGTCATTTCTAACTTCCGCTAACTGTCATACGCTTGTTCACTAGAGAGTGGTGTTCAAGCAGATGACGTAGGCGTAGTGTTTCTCTAGGGAACAGTTTCCAGCTCAAGAATGCCACTGGTCTGCGGTCTCCATCCACTTTCTGCATTAACACCGCCCCCAACCAAACTCCAAAAGCATCCGTCTGCAGGATTAACAGTTTCTGGAAATCCGGGCTCAGCAGAACAGAGTCTCCAAACACTGCCTCTCGTAAATCCTGGAAAGCTCGTTCACATTGCTCCGTCCAGACCACCTTGTTGGGAACTGTGGCTCTAGTGAGATCTGTAAGCACAGAGTTCCTGGCAGAAAAGTTAGGTATAAATCTGCCATCCCAACAAGACCAGGAAATATCTCACCTGTTTCTTAGTGGTAGGAGGACGGTAACTTCGGATGGCATCTATTTTCTCCAGCTGTGGGCAAATGACTCCTCCTCCAATCACAAATCCCAAGTAGCTGATATCTCTCTTGTCTATTGTACACTTCTTCAGTTGATGATAAGACCTGCTGCCTTAATTCTCCCTAGGACTTGCCTCAGACGTTGACAATAGTCTTCCCAGGTCTCACTGACCACATCGTCCAGATAGGCTGCAGCAAACTCCCTGGTGCTTTGCAGGATCTGATCCATTAAATGTTGGAAAGTCGCTGGCACCCCCTGCAGGCCAAACAGCATAACCCAGAAATGGTATAGCCCAAAAGGGGTTTTGGAAGCTGTCAGTTCTTTGGCTCTGGCAATTAAAAAAAACCTGCCAGTACCCCTTGCATAAGCCCACAGTGGATAGGTATTTGGTTCTGCCCAGTCTTTCCACCAACTTATCAATTTTTGGCATCGGATAGGGGTCTACCTTAGAAAAGCTGTTAGATGAAGTCAATGCAAAATCTAAGGGTGCCATCCTTTTTCGGGACTAGGACAATGGGGCTACACCACTCTCTAAGGGAGGGTGCAATAACACCCATGGAGAGCCTAATGTCTAGTTCATCTTTAAGCACCGTTACCAGGCGTTCAGGGATCTGAAAACTCTTCTGGCGGACTGGAGTTGCCTCCTAAGGATGACGTCACCAGGTTAGTACGCCCAGGTTTCTCCTGAAACCGCTGGGGATCTAACAGCTGCTTCTCTTTGGGGTTGCTCTAGATGGGATACTGCTTATTTGGTGCAGCTGGTTGAAAAATGCTTCCCTGTTGTTTCCTCTTCCTCCTCGACCGCACGAACAAAGAGTTGTGCAGCCTCCGACTCAGCCCTGGGGTGGAACTCTTTCAACAAATTAATATGGAAGATTTGCTTTTGCTTCCCCTGCTCTGGCATGGAGATCTCATAGGTGACACTGCCAGTTTTCCGCACTACCTCTTAGGGTCCATGCCACTTAGCTAGCAACTTATTCTCACTGGTAGGCAGCAATAGCAGCACCTTTTGGCCTGGCTCAAATGATCTCTCCCTTGCCCTCTTATCATACCAAACTTTCTGAGTTTGCTGGGCTTTTTTTTATGTTCTCCTGGGCCAATAATGTCATCTCTTCCAGATGCGCTCTCATTTGGATCATGTATTGGACCACACTGCAAGTACCATCCTTGGGTTCCTCCCACTGTTCCTAAAGCAGGTCCGAAGGACCTCTCACCTGCCGGCCATATAACAGTTAAAATAGGGAGAAACCTGTGGAAGCCCACAGCACCTCTCTGTAAGCAAACAACAGATAAGGTAACCATTGTTCCCAGTCGGACCCTGACTTGGAAACAAACTTGTGCAGTATGCTTTTTGGGGTTTGGTTGAAGCGTCCGACCAAATCATCATTCTGGGGGTGGTAAGGTGTGGTCTTAATAGCCCTAATCCCCAACAGTTGGTACACCTGTTTTAACTGCAAGGATATGGCGTTAGTACCCTGATCTGTTAAAATTTCACGGGGAAGCCCCACCCTGGAAAACAGCTGTACAAGGCAGTTGGCTACTTTTCTAGCTTTGATGTTTCTAAGGAGAAAGGCTTCTGGGTACTTGGTGGCATAATCACAGATTACTCAAATGTACCTGTTCCCATTCTTACTTTTTTCCAGGGGCCCCACTACATCCATTCCCAGGTGGCTGAAGGGTGTGTCAATGACTGGCAATGGTAACAAATGTGTGGGTGCAACTCTCCTTCCAGATGTCATCTGACAGTCTGTACAGGTACGAATGAACTCGGTTACATCCGTATATATCTTAGGCCAACTAAACCGACTTGCAATCCTGGCTAATGTCTTATGCTTGCCAAAGTGTCCAGCCAATGGAACAGAATGTCCCAGAATGCCACTACCAACTACCTTTCACCTGAAAGTGTATACCTTTCTTCAGGATGTACTTTTCCTCCATTACACAAGAGACAACCCCATCTAACCCCATCTACTTCAGACACGTTCTGGAACCAGTCCTGCAAAGTAGGATATTTTTTCTGCAGTTCAGCTATGTCCTCAGGGATAGTCATATTAAGTGGCCCTTCTGGCAAAGGCAGCTCCTCAACCTGCCTACTCTCCACACTACCCTCAAACTTAAGCTTACGCCTTTCCTTTTTAAATGTATGTCTTTTGTCACAGCCCCCCTCAGTGTCAACATCAGCAAATGGCAACTCATTGAAGACTGCTCTAGCACTCTGGGCCCAGGTTACCGCATAACAGAACTGAACTTGGGACTCCAAATCACAGAGAATGGGGAGATCTTGCCCCAGTATTACCTCTTTAGGTAACTGGTTCAAGGCAGCCACATGCAACAAGAAAGTAAATCAGTTCAATATGGCCGTTCATGTATGCTGATCCAGGTGATAGTCAACAGTTTATAAGAAAAGTTTAAATGTCCACTGGTTTAGTGTTCAGGTGGCCAGTCTGAAACACAACGGTCTAGTTGTAGGTGTGTGTAGAGGTGTGTGTATGTAATCCATCTATCCACCTCACTGACGAACAAAGGTAAATAAAGAGTTTTTAAAATCCCAAGTGCGTGTTCATGTCTTTATACAAAGGGGTTAAGCAAGGGGAACACTGGGAACAGAGGGCAGCTCTGTGACACTCCTCTTGGCTTATATCGAAATCCTCCGACATTTTTATTTACAAATCCTCGTTTTGTACTTCTAATACTACCTCTGCACTTCCACATTCGTCATTTCTCACCAGAGCTTACGCTATGTCTGATAGAACCATTTCTGGTTCTAAATAGAACCATTTCTTTTAAGAGTGTACATCATCTGCTGGAATGCCTCTCTCTCGTGAACATACCTATGATAGTTAGCGGAAGCTAAAGATGACGGTTTATAAAGTTTTAAATATGGATATTTTTCTTACACAAACATATTGATTCACTTCAGAAGGCCTTTATTAACCCCCCAGAGCCGTGTGGAGTAAATTTTATGATGGATAGATGCACTTTATTTTGCTTCACAATCTTGACCACCATTCACTGCCATTATAATGCTTGGAAGAGCCAGGACATTTTTAAATATAACTCCGATTGTATTCATCTGAAAGAAGAAAGTCATATACACCTAAGATGGCTTAAGGGTGAGTAAATCATGGGGTCATTTTCATTTTTGGGTGAACTATCCCTTTAAGCAATTTGCAGTTTTACTGAATGATAAGACCAAATAACAATACAGTGCACCTAAAGACACCAATGCAACTGAACACCAATGTTTTCATTTTTACACACTTTTTCCGGTTAATTTGACCAATTATTGGCCTTGTGCAAATTAAATCCTTACCGGTTTGACGAGGCCAGTGGATGCGACCACACTTTCCAGCCCCTCCACTGCCTTTTCTGACGCCTGATTGGCTCCAGCCACGGCAGTCTCACTCACAAGATTCGCCTGCTCAGTTGTTTTGTGGGCAACTAGGACAGATAAAAGAAGTGTCCTTATATTTTGATTTAAGACTTTCCATAGATTAGGGTATTTAGGAAAATGACATGTTGAGTGTTTTGTTTAGTTAAGACCTGTTTCTTTATTAATTCTTTTACCTGTGTTTACACTTGTCACAACACCTTCCTTTGTCTTTGCGCCTGTCAGAAAAATAAAAAGAAACATTTATTGTGAAGTTCAAGTAACGACACTAAAGTATTAGCTCAACTAAAAATGAAAATTTTGTCATCATTTACCACCCTCATGTCATTCCAGACCTGTATGACTTTTTCTTTGGAACACAAAAGAAGATTTTGTTCCCGTACAATAAAAGTCTAAAGCAACATGTACAACAAATACGGAGACATTTCTTCAAACTACCTTCTTTTGTGTTCTGCAGAAGAATGCAATTCATACAGGTTTGGAATGAGCAAATTATGTAAATTATGACAGAATCTTCCTATTGAGGTGAACTATCCCTTAAAGCTCTCAGACATTTTCACAACCTTGTACCTAATTTCATCTTATTTTTAGACAGATGTCTGATCCTTGATTGATGCTTTCAGCTCTGGCTCCTGTTCTGTCCTGGGATCCATACACTTAGTCTGCTGTGCAAAGTCTCCTCTGGCAGTTCAGCTAAAGAATCCAACTTTCTCCAGTACCCAAGAGACTCTACAAAATCATGGCAAGTAAATGTTGACTGGCATCACTAAGTGCTATTAAGCATTACAGATTGAGAAACATCCTTTCTACTGAGACGCTTCCTACATGTTAACAGTGGAAAATCCCACTTTGGCGTCTGAAAGGCCCTGGCATCTCTTGTACAGAATCTGCGTTGCACAAATGGCCTGTAGAACAAGCTTAAGCTCTGTTTCTTTCCCAGAACCTTTGAGCCCACAGCAACGTGTCTGTGAAAGTCGCTCCTCCTTCCCAGCATGTGCTGGGACAACACAACAAATACACCCCTCAAGAGACGTGACATTGTCCTTGTTGTTCTGGACAAAGAGCTGATTTACTATCAAGACATGCACATTCTTCAGGGCTTAGTCTCTGCTTGCAACACAAACACAAGCCTGCAATCTTATATTATTAATAATATAATCAATAAAGATTGAGAGTATTGCTGTCACCTGACCACTGCTGCAATATGATGTCACTTCCACAGCATCTCTGATTATGTGACGAAGCATAAAACGTCTCTACTGCTGCAGCTTGCTGCTGCGATTAAGAGGAGGAGACTGTGATATACTAAATATAGTTGCGCATAGATTATAGAGGAAGATATTAGATATTATTGAGATATTGTTTCTTAATCGTGTCACACAAAGATGGCACAGCACTTTTTCAGATAATAATGCTAATATATAATAATGTAAATGCTAGCAGGATTTATATTTAAAAGTTGTACTTATACAGGGCACAATTTAATGCCGTGTGTCTTCATTTGTATTCTATTCTTAAATCTGAATTACATCACCTCTCTCTCTCTAGTACAATCCTAATACTTTAATTTCTGATCCATAAGAGACTTAATGGAATTAGGTATTAAAAATAATTAAGCTGGACTGTGCTCACACAGTTCTGTGATGAAATTGGTGTTATATAATGCAACAGAAATTAAAGTGACAGTTTTATGTGAGCTCAGCCTGGTCTACAGCAGGAGTCCAAACTTCTGAGACCACTAGTAGTTAAATTCATCTGGATTTTAAAAAAATTTATTATAATTTTTGTTATATTTTTGTTTGTTATGCAGTATCATAATAAGTTGAGTGAAACATTAACATGTATTTCACATTTTTTTAGCATTTGGTTTGTCGCTCTTTTGCTATATTGATAGAAGCACTCGAGCATCATGAGCTCCCCAAGTTTGTGTCAAACCTGATCATGTTCTCCAGCATGATCCAAACAGCATCTTCAATGGAAGATCATTTGACTGTCTTTACAAAGAGTCACATGATCAGTAGTGATCAGTAGTGCAAAATCTCAAATATTTATTTTATTAATTCTACATTATAACGTTTTAATATTTTTTTAACCCTAAAACTTTACCCCAAAATTCCAATTTTCAATGTGGTCTCAGACCTTGTCCTACTAAATAGAGTAATTATTGTTAACTAAAACTAAAACAATAAAAAAATCATTACTTAAAATAAAATAAACATTAAATTAAATTAAATAACGTAAAATATAAAAAGTAAACTTAATATTATTTCCATTTTTATTTCAGCTCACATTTTATTTAATTTCTCATTTTCATTTAGTTTAGTTAAACTAAAACTAAAAAAGAAATTATATGTACTGTATATATGTAGATGTCTATGTGTATGCAGTATTTGAGTCTCTAGGGTGGCAAGGGAGGTGTGTATGTGTCACAGCAATTTGTCACAGTTCAGTGCAAAGTGACCTCGCTTTTCTTTGAGAGGCTTGAGATTTCTCTGATTAAAGTAGATCGTCTGTGTGGTGCAGAGAATCAAATCTCCTTGTAATAGCAAGCACATTGTTCTTTCCTTTCTCTGATGTGGAGGACAAGTTATGCTCTTAAACACTGAAAACAGACAGTGACAGGCTCCTGTTACTGGTGTGTACACCCACTGAGAGCCATTACAATCATTAAAGATTGTGTATTGACCCGGGCAGACCCTGGTCTCTGTGGACCGGAATGTGAAGTGGACCGGAAGGGAATGGGATTACAGTACTATGTGCTCCTGTCAGCATAGTAGCATAACCAGGAAGAAATGATGTATTACACACAATGCTTGTGCCAAAAGTCATGTACAAGATGCAATATTTTACAGTAACCTTACTGTACTGTTAATTGTTACCCATATTGCATGTCAATGTAATTAGTCCTACAATATAGCAGTTACAATGTAAAAATAAGATGTTCAGCATATTTAGCCATACTTATGCACTGTAATCAGACTACAATATCGACATCAACAATGTTAACTACTGTATCTTATAGTTTACAAATTCTTTTAATATGCAATATAAATGGAGTTCAATCAGGCTTTTCTCTTCATAATGTATCTGCCACTGACAGCTCATCGGTTGATTGCATCCTGAAGTTGAAATTGAAAACACAAAAGTGCTTCCTTTCTTCTTCTTGTCCTTTCCCTTCTGTCTTTCTTTGTCTTTTTCTATCTCCCTCCTCATTCTCCACCCATTACTGACAGTAGAAACGTGTAGAAAGCTACCGCTCAGGAGTAAATGACCATGGTACTATTTACCATGTAAGTTATTTAGCAGTGTTGTTTTCAGCTGAATCTAAGGCTTTGAACGCTTGCTGTTGTTCACTTACTTGTAGTGACGAAGCACAGCAGTCACATGTAATAATGGGCTCATGCCCTACATTTATCTTCATTGCCCTGGTTTTCATTTGCAGGACTCTTATCATCATTGGCTAATAATTCAGTTATCTAAAACTGAAAGTGATATTTTGTTTTTGCTTACATAATGAATTATATTACATTAAATTATATTAAAGATTTAAATTGTCAATAAAATTGCCTTTAAATATGCTTTTGTAATTACAATTGGGTTGTAAATTTGTAATTGGCATTGTTTATAATTATGCAAATGGCACACCATACCATTTTAAATGACTTTATATTTCCACTACACTTTACTGAAGAAAAAAGGAAGAAATATAATGAAAAATGTAGATATACAAAAAGCCTTTTCTTACTTTAATTCTCTCAGTTTTCTCCCCTCAGTTGAATTTGTACATACCTACATACATGACCCCTTCTTTGGTTTTGGCAGCTGCCTCCTCCACCCCTGCCTTGGTTTTTTCGGCGGCAGCCACCACTCCCTCCTTAGCCATGGAGAATCCCTTCTTCAGCGCATCCATACTGGAGCTCGGATCTGGGCTTTATGTCCTTTAACTGGAAGTGGCTCTTGTCTTATAACTGGTGAATGGAGCTGTGTGTGCTCTGACTGCCAGTGTTGTAAGTGTGTTTGCCAGAGTGTGTGTGCAGCTCCTTTGAGAGTGGGATGGGCACTCAGTGCTCAGACAGATTGGGACACCCTTAACAAGAAGATTAGCCAAGCGGATGGG